TTGTCCATATATGCAAGTATATTTTGTTGTTTGTTATGATATTTGTGTTATGTGTGTGTGTTGATTATAGTATTGCTGTACTCATTGTATAAGTTGGGTGGTTTTTGTTGATCTGAGTTAGCAAGAGGTCGTAATAAATCCTCTAAAGTAGTGGGATTATTGTTTTTCTTTGATCTATACCATCTTGAATGTAATAGTTGTTGGTTAGTCTATAGTTTGTAATAATATTATTGTGTCTATAAAACAGTATATTATTTATTATATTTGTTATAGTTTCTGATATTTTGATATGATATAGTGCTTTGATTAAGAGTGGTATATATACTGAGTTATAAGCCTTGCTTATGTTCTGCAATAACAACCATAGTTCTTTTTTGTTTGTTTGGATATCCTCTATTATATGTTGGAGTATATGTATTGGTATTGCAGTGGATGTATTTGTTTGGATTTATTATATTGTATTTGGATAGAATGAGATCAAGTTTTCATATAATGATTTTTGTAAGGATTTTTCTAGTATGTTCAATCAGTGTAATCGGGCGAGTCTGGTTTAAATCTCCTGTAAATGCTGCTTTTTTTGATATTAGGTATATTGTGCTGTATTTCTATGCTATAAGTATATTATATAATATTAGGCAATTATTAAAGAGGTTTAAAATTGTAGCTTTTGCTCGGGGGTCTAGGTGTTTTAGCATTTCGTTTGATATTCTTAAGGGTCTAATGGCCTTTGTGTTGGATGCTTCTTTGATTATATTCTCTAGTTCAAGGGATGTAATCTTTGTCATAATTGTATTATATCATGTTGGATCTATTATTTGGATTGGTTTATATTTATCTGCCCATTCTTGCTATAGTTCTGTTTAAGTGGGTTTTGACTTTGTTCAGTTTTTAAAGTGTTCCTGTATTGTAGTTTTAATCTTATGAGGTTCTGTAATTATATTGTCAGATGTTCAGATATTGTATAGTATTACAGGATCTGTATGTTTTTTAAGTATACTTTTTATCATTTTAGATGTATTGTTTTGGAAGTTTTGATATTTTCTTTCAATACAGTTCTTTATATGTTGGTTTTTTGCTGCTTGGTTTTCTATGTTTCTTGCTGTTTGATCTGTTGTTAGACTGTCTTGAATATAATATCTATTTCTTCAATAGTTGTGTTTGGTTGTATTTGTATTTGTGTATTGGATAAGTTATTGGCTTGCTGTATAAGATAGTATATTTGATCAATATTTGTTGCTTGTTTATATATACTTATGTGTTTTTGTACTTTGTTTATATATATTAATGCCTTGTGTAGTTTGGTAGCTATAGGAGAGAATAGGTGGTTATTCTTTTGTATTGCTTTACATGTATATAGGATATGTTTGTTTGTGCTTTGTTTAATGCAGTTTGCTAATATGTGCCATGTTTTGTTAAGGCTTTTTGTATTAGGGTTTAATGTATTTGTTTTAAATTATTCAAGTTTTGTTTCGATTGTGTTTGCAAATTGTTGCCATGTTTTTGTATCCATCATATCATAATTATAGATTGTTCTCTTTGTTTTATTTTTATTTCTTTTGTATATGTATGGTACATTGACTGATGTGAAGATAATTTTGTGATCACTGTTTGTGATTTGTGTAGCATCTTTTAGTATTAGATTGCAGAAGTTTTCTATTAAGTTTTTGGGATCTATATCTCATCTATTTGATTGCTGGTTCATTGAGAACTCCATGTAGGCTGGTTTGGTAGTAATGTGTTAATTAGTGATAGCATATTTGTGTTTTTTAAGTATTGTATTAGAGTGATATGTGTGTGTTTTTTGTTAAGATCAAGATTGATGTCTTCAAGGATGATTGGTTTGATCTTTTGTTTATTTGCTTATTCTGCTCATTCTATTATTTTAGATTGAATTGAATTGTTGAGTTGTTTGTTATTGCAAGGTAGGTATATTGTTATGATTCAGAATTGATTTTTGTATAATAGGAATATATCAATATTAAGTGCTGTTCTTGAGTAGGTTTGTATATTATATATATATGGTTGTAATTTTTTATATAGTACTATTGCAACTCTAATGTTTGATTCTTATTTTTTTGCTATTGTTGCTGTGGTGTTTGATATATAGAAGTAGTATATTTTATTATGTAGTTGTAAATTTATATATTTTGATTCTGCAAGCTTGATTTCTGTTATGCTTATTATGTCTATATTTTTCTTTTTGCAATAGTCAAGCCATAATTGTCTTTTAATATTATCATTAAGTCCATATATATTGTGTAGAGCTAGGTTAATAGTATCTGTTTGTATATGATTGTCTATATTGTTTGTGTTGGTTGTATATTTGTTTATGTTGTGGTTTTTGAAGATTGATATGATTATACAAAGATATCCCAAGTTGGTTTTGGGAGATGAGCAAGTTCTAGTATATAGTCTGAAATTTGTAGTATTTTGAAATGTTGTCAAAGAATTGTTATAGTGGAGTTGACTTCCTTTTGTTGTTTGATAGATACATTAATGTAGATTTCATTAGTGATTTTTTCAAGTGCTTCTTGTAGTTCAACTAGACTTTTTGGTATCATTGACTTTTTGTTAGTTTTGATCTCATGGATCTCGTTAGGTATGATAGATATATTAATCCAGTTTAGTGAGATGTGTTCAAAGTAGTATTCTTCTCTAAGAAGTCTAGCTATTTCAACTAGTATTCTGGATGATGTAATTGGTATTGTGATATTGAATACTTTGATCTCTGTGGGATCTAAAGGTAGTCTTAGTTTGTTTGTAAGGTTGGCTGTTAGGATTGCCTTGTTTATAGGGAAGTTTATCTTATATTTTGTTTTTGCTTCTTTGAAGAATTCTTGCGCTATTTTGTTATCAGTAATTGAGTAAATGAATTGGATATGTAGTTTGATTTTATCTAGATCTTGTGGTAGTATAGGCTTTGTATGAAGAAGTTGTTTAGTATACTCCTAAACTTGTAGTATTTTCTAAGCATTTCTGCTATGTTTTTGATATTTGTTTTTTCTAGTAATGGGTTAATGGAGAAGAGATGTCTAACTCTGCTATTTAGTTTATGATAAGTTAGTGGTAGAGGTTCTCATTCTAGTGATAAGACAAAATAGGTTGCAGATATCTTGGTAAAGCTATAGTGGTCGATGAGTTTCTTTTTATAGAATCATAGTTCTTTTAGTTGTTTTGGATCTGTAATAGAGAAATAGATTTTTAGTTCTTCTTTTAGTTCTGATGATTTGTCTGGAAGTTTTGGTAATGTAGTAAAGTAGATGTCTGATAAACTAAAAAAGATAAAGATTACTTTAAGGGAGTTAATAATTGCTTTTGTTTGAAATCTTTGCTAGATTGATAGTTTGAATGGTAGTATGTTCTTGGTCTGTCTATTTTTTCTGGGGTTTCAGGTAGTTGTTGTCATTAGATGCTATATGCTTAGTTAATTACTGTTTGGATTTGTTTGTAATCTTAAATAGATTTTGTACAGATGAAGTTTTGACTATATTTGATTATCTGATATGCCTTGCTTGGTTGGAGTTGTCTAAAGTTGAGGTTTGTAATGTATTCTATTATTAATTTTTGTCTTAGTTTGTGTTAAATTAAATCTCTAGTTTCTCTGTTCGTCAAAGTAATTTCATTTTTATCATTGTATTTGGTAATAGCCGCTTTGAGTAGGTTGGTGAATTCTTTTTAGTATGCAGATGTGGTTTATCTATTTTGGGTAAAGGATGTGAAGAATGTGAGGTCTAGGTATTTAAATTTAAGAAGTATAGCTTTTGGGATCTGATGCTGTGTAGGTTGTGTTGTTAGTTTGTATTGTATAAATTCTTCAATACTATTTGTGTCATCAAGTGCTGTGATTATTTTGTCTATTGGCCAAATCCTATAGTCAAACTTGTTTTGGTTTTGATTGTCTAATTTTTGAAGTATATGTTTAATCCAGCTTTGTGTTTGCATGTATAGTGCTTTCTCATCTATTTGCATTTGATCTTGTTAGGGAATATTTTGTTATAGTATATGGCTATACAATTTTTGTTAGGTGTTGATATTTTGATTTACATTTTTGTTTTGGTTATGGGTTGTAAATGTTGTATCTTCTATATTTATCTGCATTGATGTTGTTTTGGGATTGTTTTTTGTATTGAATATTAGGTTATGTGTTTTGTTTATTAGTGGCTGTGTTTGTATATTAGCTACATTTGTGTTGTTTTGTGTATTTGTATTTCCTGTGATTGTTGTGTTGTTGTTGTTATTATTTCTTGTTATAGTTGTTGTTATGTTGTTTTGTATAATATATGATGACATAGTATATTTTGGCAGAAGTAAGCTATTTTAGCCACTTTTTGTTGATTTTTTGTAAGTCGTAGAGATGGGTATATTGTTATAGCAGTGTCTTTTACTTTAAACTGAAGTTTGTTGGTTGTTATTTGTATTCTGTGTTTCTTGGTTGTTCATACTATAGTCTATTGATAGCTTAGATGTATATACTGATATATATGTGTTGTTTTGCTCTTGCAAACTGTTTTTTTCTACCAAGTCTGTTGAAAACTGGTTGTTGTTTTTGGTTTTCCTGTTGTATTTTTTTGTTGTTATTTTGTTATTGTATTAGTTGTTGTATTAGTTGTTCTCTTGTGGTTCGCACTAATTTTATCTATGTTCTAGCTTTATTTAGGTCTTTTTTGAATATCTTTCTTCTATTTTTTGTTATTTTTGTAATTTTTGGGTAATCGTTAGAAAGTGCGCTTCTTCCAATTTTACTTTTTATTTATTCTATTTTATATCATTTGGTTCAATTTTTAATAATTTATTTTATATTTGTCTATTATAAGATAAATCACTTCACAATTTCTTAATGCTTATACATCATTTATTTAGTAAGTATTTCTTATTGCAAATGCATTGTTTAGACTAATTTCTAATAACTTATTTAAATCTCAAGTGATTCTTTATATCTGCTTATTAAGCAAGAAGTTTTTTACAATTTTTTAATGTGTTTGTATTATTTGGTTTAATTTCTAGATTGTGATCATATTGATGTAGAGTTCTGAGATTAAAATTTTAGACAGTATTAAAAATTTAGAATTAGGAGTTGGGTCAACTTCATTACAGTTGAGATTTAGGTTTAGATTATACTGAAATGACCTGTTTTTAGTTTAGGATTTGGGTAAAAGCAAAGTTAAAAAAAAAAAATTAACATTAAATCCAATCATAGAAGTATTAACTATAAATTAGGTCAGTACTAATACCCAACTAGAGAACTATTTTAATTTTCCTTAGTTCTTATACTTGTGCAATGCAATGCAGTGTTAAAAGCTTAAAAGTTAAAATAAATAATTATAAATTTGTTATCATATTAGTAAAACAAAGTATACTTAGTATTTAATACTTTATAGATTTAATTAATATAGTCTAATATAGGAAATGCTACATTTATATAAGGTAAAGTTCACCAAGAAAAAAATCGATATTTAATAATTTAATAATCGAAAACTCTTGGTATTATTCTATTGTTTGTACTATATTTGTTTAAGAATTTTTATAACATTATCTATAACCGAAAATTTCTATTTATATCTTGCTTATATGTAATCAATATCACATTTCTAATATGAAAAATTTTTTAGTTGACTCGTGAATCATCTATTAAAAAAATTCCTGGCCAAATTTTACTATATACTCTTCTTTATCTTAACTCTAACCTTAACTCTAACTCTAATGCTAGTGAAATTTCACAAAATGAATAAATTCAAGCAAATTTGTCTAAGTGCTAAATAAATTTTCACTTTAAAGAATGCTAAAAATACTACAGATTATTTAATTAATTGCATAGCTGATTGTAATATATACGAACTCTTTCCACTGATCCTTTATACACAAATTTATGTAAACTAAAATTATCAAAAACCTTCAAAAAATATACAAAGTTTAATAAGAAACCAAACTCGAAGCTCTAAGAAAAAAAGAAGAAGGTAGCAGAAAGCACTCAGTCTTTTAAGAGACTTGAGTTAGCGGAGCAAAGGCGGCAAGGATATAGAAGAAATCTTGCAAAATTATCAGTCTTTTTTTTGTTTTTTGCGAATTTTTGGGGAATCGGCCTTGACCCTGTAATGCAGATCTGTTTTGGTGATACAAGAATTACAACATGTAATGAAGAATAAACAAAGGAAACACACCAAAAACCACGTGATGAATTTAAACAAAAATGGTAAACAACCTCAACAAACAATAACAGAAAACAACAATGGAAAAACAACAAGTCATGTGAAGCAAAAAGTAACAGAATGTTCTGGAAGAATGATTACTGTACCAAAAGAACTTGAGGCACAAGTAGAGACACTTGACGAAAATGAAGATATTCTAATAGATCTTATATTAGCATTATATGCTGGGAAAAAACTTATTACAGAAGAAGAAGCTGAGGTACAAATAGCAGAACTTAATGAAGAATTATGGAAATATAATTCAGGTAAAATTAAGTATATGGAACTTGCACTTAGAAAAAGAAACAACCATGATTATCATGCAGCACTACAAAAAGAAAAGGATTCTGTTAGATATATTATACGTCAAGAAATAAACAACACTCTAGTTGACTTAGAAATAGCTAATGGAATAAGATGGATAATAGAGTTTAAAGAAAAACAAGCTGCTGAAATAGAGTCGATAAAGTTAAAATTAGATTTAGGTTG